TCAGTCAGTGATCCCGCTGACCACGCGCGCCCTTGCAGGAGCGGCTCGGGGCCCTACTCGGACTCACGCCCTCCGCGGCGGCGCTGCTCGTCCTCTTCCTGCTGCAGCTTCCGCAGGCGCTTCTCTGCCTCGCCTGCTCTGCGTGGGCGGCGAGGCGGCGGCTCCTCCTCCACCGCCAGATCGAGAGCTTCTCGCTCCAGTCGCGCGAGTGCTTTGACGAGGCCCGACCGCATGCCCTGGCGGAGGGCGAGCCGCGCCTCTTGACGCCTCTCCTCACAGCGCCTTCACGGCGCTCCTCTGCAGGCGGACCGGCCCCTCGTGGAGGACTGCGTGGAGCGGCTGTGGAGCGGCTGTGGTGCACACAAGGGCCGCGCGTGTGGCGGCGGCGAGGTGCCGCCGCTGCGCGCCGCCCCGGCAGCATCCCCGGGCATCGAGGCCTTCAACTCGTACGTGCGCCGCGTCCTCTCTCGCGTCGTCGAGCGGCGCATCGGCGCGGACGGAGGGGCCGCGGCGGCGCCGCTCGCCCGGACGCGTCGACGCGTCCATGACACGGCGTTAGGCGCGATGCGCAGCCTGCCGTACGCCGACCTCGTCCTCTCCTCCTCGTGGGCGGCCCTCTACTCGCTCGACGTCGCCGCGGGCCTCTACCGCCATGGAGGCGGCACGGCGAACCCGCAGCCGACCGCACTGCGCGCCCTGTTCGCTTGTTTCGCAATCAGCTTGATCTCGTACCCGCTGCTGCAGCTCTGCCTCTGGAACGTCGGCGCCAGCGTCGCGCGGCTGACGGCGCACGACGACGCGCACGACGCGGCGGGGCGCGGCGGCGGCGGCGCTGAAGGAGTCTGCGCGTGGGCGGGCGGCTGGAGCCGGCTCGGCCGGCTCGGGCTGCTGTCTGTCGCTGCCGCCGGGACGCTGCTCGCGGCGCCACCCCGCCCCGCTTCCGCCGCCTGCTTGGGGCGCCCACGGGCTCAGAGGCCCTCGCTGTGAGCAGGCGTCGACCAGCGTCCTCTACCAGGCGTTGCATATCCGGCTGCTCTCCGGGCGTTTGGGCGCGGGCGTCGTGGCGGTAGACGTGGGCCTCGGCTGGCTGCTCTGGCGGTGGGGAAGCTTCAGCGAGGGCGGTGGTGCTGGCCAGGAGGGGCCAGGTAAGGAAAAGGCGATGTGAGCACATAGGGGCATTGTGGTACCATGGTACCTCGTCTACAGACTATACGTGTGTACACGGACCCACTCTCGGACCGACACCGTCTGCGTAACTTTTCATGGAGATGAGGCGTGTGGGATCGCTTCTGTTTACTGCGGTTTCACGAATTTTCGCTTTCTGCACAATCCCTCTGAGAAAGAGAACACCGTGGCGGAGTGGACGCACCACCCTAGAGAGTAGAGAGAGCAAGAAACCAACGGTGAAAACGGCCCATGAAAACGGCCCATGAAGGTGAAAAAGCGCTGAAGTTTTCCGGCACATCGCCGCGCTCGTTGTGCCTACATCCCTGCCCCCTTTTTGGCTGCTTTATCAATTAACGTTTTGTGCAACAAGACGATCAGACGCAGCACTCACACTGATCTCCATGTGGCGCAAGCCGCTCGCTCTCACCGACGTGGCTCGTGCCTTCCTCTCGCAGCCGCCTCCACGCAAGCCGCTGCCTCGCATGACCAACCTGCTTGGCAGCATTCAGTTTCCTGCCGCCATGCCCTTCGGCGAAGACTGTTTCACGCGAGAGGACGAGGCGGATGACTCCATCATGTATCGCTCGCCTATCCTGTGCACGCACATAGACGATGACGCGATTGTGGCGCTGACCAAGCACTACCGCCGCACGCTGCCAGCCACGCCTCCTGGCAACGCGGTGGCGCTGCTGGACTTGTGCTCCTCGTGGGTCAGCTTTCTCCCGCCGGAGTTCACTCCCTGCCGCTGCGTCGGCCTCGGCATGAACAGCTTTGAGCTCGGTGAGAACGAGCAGCTCACCGAGCGCACCGTGCACAATCTGAACAAGGGCGGCGCGCTGCGCCTCCCCTTTGACGACGGCAGCTTTGACGTCATCACCAATGTGGTCTCCGTCGACTACATTACCCGGCCGCTTCAGCTCTTCGAGGAGATGCACCGCGTGCTCAGACCCGGTGGAGTAGCTGTCATGTCCTTCTCGAACCGAATGTTCTGGCACAAGGCCGTCAGAATCTGGACGGAGGCGAGCGAGTGGCAGCGCGTGCTCATATGCAGCCTCTACTTCCGCCTCGCCCGCGGTGGCGAGGCCTTCGAGGCCGCAGAGGCGCTCCTAATCACGGAGCCGGAGGGGCACGACCCGATGTACATTGTCCAGGCGAGGAAGCCGGGCGCAGGCTCCCAGGAGCCAGAGGGGCGACAGTCACCGTCGGACACGGACAATGAGGACGGCGTGCCCAGCATGGTTTGAGCTATGACATTTAAAAACACCCACGGCACAGACTAATCTCACCAACAGCACATGCACATGCCACAGTGGATAGAGCGGGGTTTAGGGACATATGGCGACGCAAGTTAAACCGAATCTAATTCTAAACTGCTGTGTGCCCCATTACTTGTTAAGCCGTGGTAGATGTTGTCTTGGAAGGAATGTAGAGTAATCAGATGATACCATATACGCGGAGAGCAACCGCCAACTCTTCCCTTTGCCCAAGTCTCGCGAGCCCCCGAGCCCTAAACGTTATATTCTGTTTTCGAGATACATTCGAGGTGTATGTACTAGGGAGAGGGGGCTGAGGTGTACACGAGCGACCTTCTGTTTGCTCAAGGATTATTGGACGGTATTGTTGCCACGCGCGCGGTACTCTCTCTGTATAGGCTATAGCAGACGCTTTCTGAGCCTCGGGATTAGAACGCTCCACAACGCTATTCGCGCAGTGCTGTCGCCAGGGCAGCCAGGGCAGGAATCCGAGTTCGCTTCAACCACGTGTGAAGCAACCATCTTTGGTGCGAACCATATTTGGTTGACCACATGTTTTGTACCACGTTTGCGGCACGGACGGGCAAGACGTGTCGGCGAGATCGTAGCCATCGATGATGGTGCGTGCTGCCCATTTGCTCTTCGCCGGTGATGGTGATGATGTGTGCGGCCGCCCAACACGATACGCAAGCCCGTGCTTTCGTCGCATTTTCAGCGCCCGCGATGCGGGAAAGCGGGACGCAAGATGTGACACGTTCACAAAGCAGTCGCTGATGACTTCGTTTGTCGGTGAGGGACGCCCAAAGATGCAACCAACGTAGCGCATCCCAACGCCGAGCAGAAGTTCCATGATGCCGCGTCGTTGCCCATCGCCACGCACTTCAACCAGAACTACACCGAGGGTGAGCGATTGAGCAGACGTGACGAGCGATCTCAGTACGAGGGTCTCAACGCCCTCAACGTCGACGCTCAGAAAGTCGATTGCGTCAACCCCGAGTTCGGTGAGGACAGGGCCCAAAGGTGCGCACGGCACCGGCACCATTTGTTCGCTCGGGCCGTCCCCGCTCTTTCGGTCGTGCGAGGAACGTATTTTGGCCATAGTTGTCGATTTCTGGGAGAAGTTTAGCGAGCCGGCAGTGGCGCACGCGGCCATGTGGATGTTCAGAGATGCGGGCCGAGCCGCACGGAGAGCGCGGAAGCTGGTTGGATTCGCCTCCACCAGCACGCCTTGCCAGCCGAGACAGCCCTCAAGCACCCAGCTCTGCGACTCAGTCACCCCATTGTAGCCGCCGATTTCGAGAAATACGCCGCCAGGCAGAGGCGCCGCAGTTTCGACATGTGTGAAGAACGTGCGCATCACTGCCGCGTCTTCTCCTCGCGCCGATGAGCACGGAAGCACGACAGCCATGTGCGACTTGGGCGCGTAGCTTCGCCAGCCGTCGCTGACGCGAAGAGTTTGGCTCCCGGGCAGCAAGCTAGGCACCCAACCCATTCTGCGCGCAGAACGCAAGAGGCTTCTCAGCGTGTGTGCTTTGTGACGGGAGGCGAGCAGGCAAGGCGCACCGGGATTGCGGTTGATCGGTCCAGTCAAGGCCGTTCAGGAGCTCCGATACGTCGCTGACCGCCCCCGATACGTTCCAAAGCTCCTTGGGGTGAGCTGGTGAGCACCGCATGGCATTTCGCACCTCAGGCTCGTCACATAGTAAGCAGTTGGCATCGAAGTTGTCCCTCAGCGATACGTTAGGAAGCGCGTCGAGCCAACCCTGTTTGGTAATGCGCCGTGCTTTAGAAAGCGGCAGGCAGCGGTACGCGCCCAAACAGACCAGCGGTTCTGCTGTCGAAGACATCGCGTCTTCAGCGGCACGACTCTGCACGCGCACCGCGTGCATCGTTCGACAGCTTTTCGCGGCAGCCACGTTGTGGCGTGATGATCCATACAACAGATCCATACAACCTCTCTCTTTTCTCCCAGTAAGCTATAAGTACGTACAACCCAGTAAGCTATAAGTACGTACAACAACAACAACACTAGCCCTGGATGTGAGGTTGATGACTGCACTCCAAGTGCTCCAAGTGCTCCAACACATGTACATGTAGAGAGAGAGCACATGTCGAGAGAACTGCACAACATGTGATGAAGGTTCGCCGCGCTCAAAAGTAAGGGCGGCGATTATCCCGGGGGCCCCCTCTGGCCCATAACCGCCGTCCGAATTCCCCGCGTGCGAGAAAGGATCAAAGAATCCTTTGCGACCAAAACTCCCCTCGCTCGCACAACACCGGGCACGGGACGAGAAAGAATTTTACCATCGCGGCGATCAATCGATCCCCGCCCCCGCCAAATCCTCGTACGTTGCCTCGGCGTCGCCCCAACGCGTCTCCTCCAAGAAGGCTGCAAAGGGCGTGAGCAGGCCGGGGAACTGCCGCTCGAGGGCGGCGACGTCGGTGGTCTCGGTGCTGGTGCGGTAGAACTGGATCACCTCGTACAGGTCGGGCAGGAAGAGCCTCGCGATCCAGCGCAGTAGCCGCGCCTGCTTGTGCTCGCACGGCGTGCCCTGCGCCGCCGCGAACGCCTCCGCCATCCCCGCCGGCGTCGACACCTCGCTCGCGACGTTGATCACGCGGCCTACGAGACATGTCGCGGACGCGTCGTGGACGTGTCCTGGACACCTCGCTCGCGACGTTTGATCCAGCGGGCCGTCGGCGGGCGGAGGCGGCCCCGCGAGGCATGAGCCTGCAGGACAGTTCCCAGACAGGTCTGGGAACTGTCTGGGAGGAGGGCGGAGGCGGCGCGAGCCTGCGAGGCGTCCCATGTCTCGCACGCTGGTGAGGTAGACGTCCCTGTCTGGCGGGAGGGAGAAGGGGTACTTGCCCTTCAGGATGGGCGGGCGCGTGTACGACTTCCACAGCTCCTCCATGAAGAGGTTCGCGCGCAGGTGCGTGGCCGGCAGGCCAGACTCGCGGAAGACCTGGGGGACGCGCCGAGGGGCGTGTCGCGGACGTGAGGACGTGTCGCGGACGTGTCGCGGACGCGTGTGTCGCGGTCGTGTCGCGGGAGGCAAGGCACGCGACGGCACACACGGCTGGTTCTGGACTCTCTCTCTCCCTCCCTCCCTCCCTCCCTCTGGCCGTGCTGCGCCTGCTCGACTGCATGCTTCTGAGCGATGCGCTTGACGCCGTGGGAGGGCTCCGCCGCGGCCGAGTTGAAGACGACCTGAGCGACCCCGCTGCCCTGGAGCGAGGCGGACAGGTGACGAGCCCGGAGCACCTCTCCCACGTCGAGCTTCTTCGTGTCGCCCGCAGTCGAGTGCACGTAGCAGCCGGTGCAGGCGTCGGCCGCACTGACGAGTGAAGCTGGCTCGTCGAGGTCCGCCGCGAAGAGCTCGATGCCGGCGTCGCTGGTGTGGAGGACCGGCGGGACGGCGAGATGAGAGGGAGGAGCTGGGCGCGCAGCGGCGTGAGAGGCGAGAGGGGCAAGAGAGGGAGAATCTGGTGCCGAGGGTGCGGCAGTCGAGGCCACCGCCAGAACATGCCGTGTCTAGGTCGATGCGAGGCGGCTGCGCACGGCGTGGCAAGTCGGGACGCGCAGTCGGGGCATGGGCGACACACCTCAGCGGCTTGAGGCTGTCTCGCGAGGGATTGCGGGTGAGGAGGCGGAGCTGGGCGGGCTGGTAGCCGACGTCAAGGAGGCCGCGGAGCACGCGCGTGCCAGTGCCGCCACTCGCTCCGACTACGAGAAGCTTGGCGTCGGGAGGCGGCGCGAGGCCTGCCACCATCGCAATCGACACCATCATACTTCTCAAAAAGAAGTCGGTGGTCAAGCGAGAAAAAGAATCCCGCGGCGCGGGATGTGCGGTTGCTGCTGCACTCCAAGTGCTCCAAGTTACTCCCAGTGTCTTTCCAAGGGCTCTCCTCTCCGCGCGGCGGCGAAGTCCGTGAGACGCAGGCGGGCCAACCCACGCGCCACGCGCGAGCACGTAGCGCGCGAGCGCGTAGCGCGCTCGCGCTCTACCGCGCCTTCTCAATCAGCCGCCCCATCTCTGCCGCCAGCCGCTCGAGCTCCGCCGCGTCGCTCAGCGCGCTGATCGGCGGCCGCGGGGGGCCGAGCGGCGCGGCGCCGCCCATCGCTCGCTCGGCCAGCGCCTTGCCCGCCCCGACAAACCCCGCCGGGTGGCGCTTGAGCAGGCCGAGCATCTGGCGGGCGGTGTCCTGCGCGGGGGGGTGTCCGGCCGGGAGATCAGGCGACGCGCCGGGCTGCGAGGAGGAGGCGAGGGGCCACTTGGTCCGGTGTGCCGCCTGGTACTCTGCCGCGGCGGCGAGGTCGCCCCGCTCGTACGCTTCGAAGATGCCTACGCCGCAACCACGCCACCGCGCTCACGGTGGGTCGTGCCGCTCCCGCACCGCGCTCTCGCCGTGGAGGCTGCCGAGGATGGCGCGGTTGCCGCCCATCATGCCCGGCACGGAGAAGCCGCCGGCGGTGCCGAGCACGAGGCTGGGCAGAAGCAGCTCGTCGCCGCTGCCGATGAGGACGTCGAAGCCGGCCCGGATCGAGGCCTGCATGTCCGCGAGGTCGTTGTGCGTGAACTTTGCGCCCACGACGTTCGGCGCCGCCTCCCTGGCCGCCACCAGCACGCGCTCCATGCTGCACGCCACGCCAGTCATGTCCGGGAAGTGGTAAAAGAGCACCGGAGTCGTCGGCACCGCCAGGGCAAAGTCGGCGAGCATCTTCGCGACGGCGGCGTCGCCGACCGGCTTGAAGAAGCACGGCACCATGTACGAGACGGCATCCACGCCGAGGGCTGCCGCGTGCCTCGCCAGCTCGACCGTCTCGGGCGGAGCGAGGCAGCTGACGTGGGCCAGCATGCGCAGCTTCTTCGCCCGGACCTCCTCCGTACTCATCCACATCTCGAGCATCGCCTTGCGCTCGGCGAGCGAGCAGGAGAAGGACTCGCCGTTCGTGCCGCAGACAAAGACAGCGTTAAAGCCCTCAGCGACTAGGTAGCGCGCCTGGCCGGCGATGGAGGCGCACGCTGCGGTCGCGCCGCCGCCGGCGGAAAAAGGAGAGTGGACCGGGGCGACGAGAGTGCCCTTCGCGAAGCGCTGCCACTGCACTGTCATCGACTCCCAAAGCGCGCCTGCTTTTGGGAAAGAAAGGAGTTCTCCGGGTAAGCTCAGCTGTGAACTTCCCAGTTGTTTGCTCTTGCTTGCGCGTGGCCCTTGCGTGCACGCCCAAGCTCGAGCGGCATCACGCAGAGCGAGCTCTGCGCAGGTCCCGCGACCTTCTCGGGCAGGAGCCCACCTCTCCTTCCCTCCGTGCGCCCAACGATATGGGCAAATCCGCGCCGAAGCGCGCTTCCGACGCTGACCAAGACGAACGGCCCGCAGAGGCCAAAGATGACTCTGGGCAGGAGCCCCCCCCCTCGGGGGCTGGCGGGGGCACCGACGGGGCCCCAGCCGCGCCTTCCGCTCCCGTGGACTCGGCCGAGGAGCTGCGGGTGCTTCGCAAGCAGCTCGAGCGGCTCGAGGCTCAAGCCGCACAGACCGCCGCACAGCCCGACGGGGGAGACCCCCCACCGGGCGGCGGCGGCGGCGGCGGCGACGGCGGCGGAGCGGGCGGCAAGGCGGCCAAGGACCGCGAGCGGGTGCGCCCCGACCCTCCCACCCCCCCAGACTCCGACGCCGACTCGTCGGAGGACGACGTGGGCGGCGGTGGTCACCGCGGCCCCCCCCGCCTCGGCGGCGGCGTCGGTCGCGACGATGCTGTCGGCGAGCTGTTCGGCGGACACGTGCTCGCCTGCGACTACGACAGCGACAACCCCTTCGAGCGGAAGCGGGGACTGCAGCAGCGGACCTCGCACTACTCGCCAGCGGCGGCGGGCGACACCGTGCACGCAGAGCTGCACCGCAAGCTCGGCGGGGATATTAGTGTATATATGTTTGCTTGCATTGGGAGTTGCGACCAGATACGACCGTCGGTCGCAGCGGTCGCAGCGGTCGCAGTGGTCGCAAGTCCCAATGTAAGTATATTGGCGCTTATATAAGACCCGACGGTTACCACCGGCTGCTCCCGCTGCCTTCCGTCTTGGGCTGGCCCACGCGGCTTTGGGCTCGCCGACTCAGCTCTCTCGTTCGCTGCACTGGCGCGGCACCTCGCAACAAGGAGGAGGGCTCGCACGCGCTGGGCGAGGATCTCTTCGAGTCGGACTGCTACGACACGGGCGTGTATCGGTGCCCTGTTCCTAACTGCGGCAAGTGGTACGCGACCGTGGGGAGCAAGTGCGGGCTCTACCAGCACCTCGTTCAGTGCGACTCAAAGTTCCGCGGCGAGAAAGGCGACCAGCGGTGGCAGGGCGGGAGGGAGGGGTTCATGCGGCATCTTCAGCAGCAGGCCGAGGTCGGCTCCCCCGCCCACTACTTCCGCACTGTCTGCTATGGCGCGCGCAAGGAGCGAACGCCGGATCGCCTGCGGGGCAGGCACACGGATTGGCTGGCCGCGGTCGCAAAGGCGAGGGCCAAGAGGGCAGCGGATGACGGCGGGAGCTCCGCCGCCACCAGCGCCGAAGCACGCCGACGCGCCAAGGCCTCGTCGGACGCGGCGCGCAAGGCGGCGTTCCACGCCCGCGGCTCGCAGTACTTCATCTCGAGCCCCCATGCTGTGGGAGGCCGCCGCTGCCGCCGGGCGGCGGCGGCGGCGGCGGCGGCTGCGCTTGCTGGCCCGTCTCGATGAGCGGCGGCGATGGGTAGCGACGCTCTTCAGGACGTCATGGGCGACGCTCGGCGGCTATGCACAGCAGCGGCGGCGGCGGCGGGTTGGCGCGACGGCGGCACGATGCTGCGGCCTCACTCTTCATGATGTTGTGTGCTCAAGACGGAGCGATGAACGTGACTGCCGCGTGCGCGCACACGTCGTGGCACATGATATGTTGGTGGTCCAGTGGCACATGTATCTTGGTGGTCGTGGCACATGTATATGCAGATATGAGGTCTCAAGACGTGTTGCATGACCACAACCACCAAGATGTGCATGTCTCTGTTAACTATTCTCGTCGGTCGTCAGAGTGACATATGTTTCACGCTCGTGACGATGCGAAGTCGGGGTCCCGCGCGGGCCCGCGCTGCCGGCGCACAAAATCCCCCTGCAAAGCTTTGCTTGCATTTACATTTCATGAGCGGCCGCATAATTAACGTCGGCTATGGCGGTCGGTCACGTACCCCCCCCCAGGGGGTGCGTGAGGCGAACGCCTCGTAGGGTGGGTCAGCGCGGGCGGCTGCTGGCCCCGCGCGCGAATGCGCACAGAGGTTTAGGCTGTTTAGGCTCTTGTGCTCGCCGAACACTAACGTGCACGCCACGGGGTGACCCCCGCACACAGTACTACGATTTCTTGTCCTTTCGCTTGCGAACTATAGCCACGGGGCCCAAATAAAGGCGTCCTCAGCTCCTCACAGCACCGAAGGTCCCGGGTGTGGGGAGCCCTTCACAATCGCATCCCCCAAGTGCCCAAAACGTGGTCCCCGCAGTCCAACGGCAGTCATCTCCCGTGGACCGCCTGCGTACGGTGCCGGAGATCTACATACATTGCGCAGCTGCACAAACGTACAGGCACAGGCACCGGTGCCGGTGCCGGTACCGGCACCGGTGCCGGTACCGGCACCGGCACCAGCACCAGTACCGCCGCCGGTGCCGCTGCCGGTACAAACGATCACCTCTCACGGACTAGTATATGGAGGGCACGTGATCAGCGGCCCTTTCGCGTTTGCATAGTGAGTGGCATGAGCAGTGCCGTACATGGTATCCCGCAGTTTTCCGTCCGCGTCGCAGATTGCGCCGAGGTCAACTTCTCGGTGCATTATTCCGTAGGAGATGACGACGTCATGGATAGCGACGGCGAGTGCATCGGGACCTGTGACGCGCAATGTCTCCTGCTTTTGGTTCGACGTCTTAGTCCAGCCGCTGTCGAAGAAGGTCATCTCGTGGTCCGTGGAACCAAACGTCGCGCAATGGTCGTGAATGAATTTGACAAGCCGGTCCAGCATGGCTCGCAGGTACGGGTGCAAGGCAGCAAAGATGAGGCAATGCTGCTCGTACGTGCCGTATCCTGTCTTTTGCCGAAACGCTTCAAGGTACCTTTTACGGTCCAGCAAGGCCAGATCATCATCCTGGAGAACCCGGCTCAGGTCTGTCTTCAGCTGTTCCTTGATGTCCATGTACGCTCCGCCTTCGTGGTACAGCACAAAATAGCGGAAGAAGTCGGCGCGGGCAGCACCATAGCGCGGATTGATGAGCTGGTAGGCTGAGAGCTCCTCGGGAGTGCCGCGCTCCTTGATGAAGGCCAGGACGTCGTTGTCGTCGTACAGCTTGAACTCCCAAGACGGGCTCTTTGCCTGATTCTGGTTGTACAGATCGAGCAGCGCTCCAGTAAGTTGCTTCGTCTTCCACGTCTGATGCAGCACCCACGGAATGTTTCTGGTCGAAAAGCAGCCACAGTCAGCACGACCTGCCAGCGATCCACGTTTGGACACAAAACGGCCATAGGTGCCGTACACTTGGCATGTGCGAGCGATGACATCGTACGAAAAGGACTTGCAGCCGCTTGTTCCCAGGCAATGCTCGCGACACGTGTGCACATTAGTCTGCTGTGTTGGCGATTGCAGTGCACTTTCCGCTGCGATTGTCTGTGAGGAAGACACGCAAAATCGCAGTCCCAGGTAGGCGATGCTCATTCGACTTGAGCATGGCGGCAGCGGAGAGGGTGGCGCAGGCGGCGGCGGTAACAGCGGAGAGGGTGGCGCAGGCGGCGGCGGTAACAGCGGAGGCGGTGGCAAGGGCGGCGGCGACAGGGTCTGTCCAGTCGTCAGCTCTGCGGTTTGTGTCGTCGGTGCCTTAACGGTCGGTGCACTCGCTGCGTATGCAACAGCAACTCCACAGATGATGACTATCGCTGCCAGAAGCGCGCACGCAGCTCGACGTGCGACGGGCGCGGTCGATGAGTTGGAATCTGCAAGTGTCTGCATTCCAAGATCTGCCTCCACGTCAGCATCTGCCATCTCCACTGATGCCTTTTGGACCTGTCGCCCCGGCTTCCTTGAAAGTTGTTGAGCTGCGGTTCTGATCGATTCGCTATGCTTGCGAGAGGCGAGCCGCCGCTTCCTGGCTCTGTCACAGCAGGCCTTGGTGGATGGTGTGGCACCGTCACGTGAGTCCGAGACTGGCACCGATGCCGTTATCCGCGGTTTGCCGCTCCCGTTGTTGAGAGAACGCGGCGGCGCCTCCTCATCGTGTCGAGAGAGTCAGCCCATACAAGCCCATGCGAACAGTACTCTCGCGCGTCTCGTCAGACTGAGGCTGTGGTGGCGATCGGAGTGTTGGCTTTGCACCAGGCGGCCTAATCCTGTCCCCAATGAAGGTGAACCTTCTTTTCTAGACCGGAAGGATTGAGAGCAGCCTCGCTCTCAATCCTAGAAGTCGAGGGATTGTGAGCAGCACTCCTCGCAATCGTAGCATCTCTGTACGATTGCTAGCACCCACGCTCGCAATCCTACATCTTCTAGGACTAAGAGCAGCTCCGCTCCCAAGGTGACTGGTGACGCCTACGACTACTACCAGCGCGCTCGCAATCCGAGCAAAGTCTAGGATTGCGAGCAGCACTGCTCGCAATCCTAGCAACATGCCTCCGATTGCGAGCAGTAGCGCTCGCAATCCTACATCTTGTAGGACTATGAGCGGCGGCGCTCACAATCGTACCCAAGATCCGAGGATTGCTAGCAGCTGCACAGAGCGCGGCCCTTGGTTGTGTCAAGTGCACTGACAACAACCCCGCTGCGCCCGTTGAGCGCGGGCCGCGCCACAAGCGAGTGGAGCACCACGGGCGTGCCCACCGCCAGCCCGTCAAACGACGCCGACTCGTCCTCGAAGTCGCACACAAACCCTCCCATCGGCCCCCCCTCCCCCCCCCCCCCCCCCTGTGTGTGTGTGTGTGTTTCGTATCAAGAATACTCACTCACTCACCCCCCCCGCACAAGGCGTTGGCAACCATCGCCAGGTAGAGCACCACCAGCTTCGCCGGGATGGCAATCGGCTTCCCTCCGCTCCCATCCAACGGCAAATTGGCCCGCCAGCCGCACGACGGATAGAAGCACTGCACAAACGTGGCAAATGTGGCCAGCCACGACACGAACTGCGGGTAGTTCGACACAGCCTTTGCCGATATGGCCATCATGCCCTGCTTCAGCACCACGTCATTCACCAGCACCGCGTGCGCATCCGTCACCGTGAGTGCGCGTCGGCGCCGCCCTTCTTGTACATCGCGATTGCCGACGCCGCCACCTTCTCCTGGCCATCCACAACCTGCGCGCCAGTGCCCGCGCCGGTCTGAGTCTTCCGCTGCTCGCGCCGCTGCACCATCTGCCGATCTTTGCCATCGCGTCGAGAAGAGAAGATGCTCGCGACCATGGATGAGGTGCCCTTCACCGGCGCTCCCGCGACCTCGTTCGCCCTGAGAGCCGCCACCCTCGTCGAAGGCTCCTCGCTCCTTCGCGGCCTGCTGCGCCCGCACCACCTCCATCGCGTTCGCCGTCTGCGAGTTGAGCTTCGTCACCTTCGCCTTCTTCTCCCGCGCCGCCGCCGCCTCCCGGTCCTCGCGGCGGTCCGCCAGCGGGTTGTCGCCGGCGTCGGCAGCCACGATCATGGCCGTGACGGCCTCGCCTGCCATCTTCGATTCTCGGTCGATCGCGCGTCCAAAAGTCGCCAAAAGTGCCAATTGCGGCGAGTCGCAATCACCCGCCCGCCGTCCCGGCGGTCCCGCAGCTCGCGCGAATCTCCCTCTTAACCCACCTCTAACGGCGAAAATCTAAGACCACAATAGGGGATCCCTATGCATTTCAAGAAGCGCGCATACAAGAAATCGCGCGCGACAGCCAAACGCAAGCAGATCGCGGTATACACACGGACACCAGCGCCGCTTACTTTCCGCTTACTTTCTCTCTCTCTAGGGCGGGTGCAGGCAGGGGGGACGGCGGCCGCCGTAATTGTCTCCTCCTCCGTTTGCCAACACCAGCTGGCCAAACACTTCCATGATTCTCTGTGTGTTCTCCACCTTCCTCGCCCTGGGCTTGGCGCTGACGACGCAGCTGGACACGCAGCAGCAGCAGAAGAGCGAGCTGCACACGACGAGGACAGGGGGCGTAATCTTCAGCGGCAAAATCACGACCGTCTTCAGCGCAGATCTTCGCCTGGCCGAGAGGCTCACCGCGGCCGTGCTGGTGGAGCAGGTGGAACGTTCGGCGCTGATTTTGAGTCCACCCGCTGTTGGCAGCGTGGCCGAGGTCGTCTTTGGACGGCGCGTCGTCCCTCTGAGGCTGCGCGACAAGCTGCTCCACAGTCGCGTGCGGCTGCAGGCTGCTGCGTCAAACTCGACATCGCATCGCTGCACGAGGATAGAGCTCCTGGGCCAGGCAGCCGCAGGGGATGCAGCAGACATCGAGCCTTCAGAACCCCTTGTGCTCGTCGAGCTCACCAGAAACGTCTCCTCCTCCAAGCACCCTTGGCTCGAGCAAGACTACCCGGCCGGCACCCGCTTCCGACCCTTCACCGGGCCGACATACGGCGTGATCAGCGAGAGCGGCATCGCGGTCCAAGACCTGCTCGACTGCGAGGCGCCCTTCTACGAGATGCCCGCGAGCGCGACTCGCGTCGTGTGGTCGGCTGCCTCGGAACAGCTGGTTCGACGGTGCGCCGTGCCCGAGCTGCTCGACCCAGTCGAAGTCGTTCTTGTCCCTCACCCTCGCCCTCCGCCCTCGCCCTCGCCACCAACCGGCGTCCGGCCCGGTCCCCCTCCCACCATCATGTTTCTCATCCTTTTCTTCCTTTTCGTCCTCATCATCGCGAGTCACGACGGCATCTTCAACTGCATCGCGCTCTGCCCCATCGCCTAGCGGCGCTCACCCAGAGATCTTCCCCATCGCTCCCTAGCGGCGCTGCCCCGAGAGAGCTTCGTTGTGCATGCTTCGCGCCTGGCGTGGGTGCATGCGAGTGTTCGCATTAAAGGTAGGCACGTTGGAATGCGGAGATAGTTACTGCTCTTTGTAGACTTTGTAGTGTTCCTCCTGTCCGTGACTCTCTGTCTCACATGAGTTTCTTCCCTCGATTGTGTCACTCCTCTCCTCCTTGTTCGGCGTCGCCGAACTGCGACCGAAGCTCGCTTTGTAGCAGCGTCTCATTGAACCTTACTTACCGTCCAATCGAGCCGTCCCCTGAGATAGAGATTTTTAGCAATACCAGCAAATACAGGACTCTAACACTCACACGTAATTTGGGGCCTGGAGCCCTGTTCACGCGCGCGCGAGACGTGCAGACAGGGTTGCCAGGCGAGAGCGAATGGCGCGGTTCACGCCTCGCACAACAGAGAGAGAGATGCGCTCTGCATGGTGGGACATAAAAGAGAGCGAGTACTTGGGCGAGTAGGCCGTGCGGTCGACGCTGCCGCGCGCGACTTTGCGCGCGAGGCGGCGCAGCTTGAGAACGGCGGTGGGCGAGAAGCCGCCGCCGAACGTCTCGTGGAGCAGCAGGTTGAAGTTGTTGCGCTTGACAAAGATCGCGTCGTGGTAGAAACCGCGATGCGCCTTGACGTAGCCGTGGCCGGTCTTGTGGGAGAAGGGTTGGCCGGGCTGCCCGCGCGCCTTGCAGCCCATGTTTAGGCGGCGGGCCTTCTCTTCGGTGTTGCCGAAGGCGTAGGAGTGGCCAACGCGGAGGCGGGCGTGCCGCCGCTCGAGGCGCTGCCGACGCCCGCCGAGGAGGTCTTGAGGAGGGGCGTCCAGAGCTTGACTTCATTCACCTCATCGCATCCTCCCGGGCCAGCGTGGGGTTCCGCGAGGTCGACCTTGTACCCCTCGTTGTACTGCCGGGTGAGCTCTGGTTTCTCCTTGTCGCCGTGCACGACCGGCGCGTTGGCCGGGGCGCGCATCGCGTCCGCCCAGGCGGCGAGGACGCCGTCGTGGGGCCGCCGGTGGTGGGCCTTGATGTAAAGGTAGTCGCCGAAGAAATCGACTGGCATGCCCCGCTCGAGCGCGACCCGAAGGGTGGGAAGCGCCACGGAGAGCCAAAGGCCGAGCTTCCGCTGGAGCTCGTCCTGGAGGGCGTCGGAGGAGAGGGCGGTGGCGTACGTGCCGTCGACACGGACATCGAGGGCCTTGCCGGCGAACGGCGTTGAGGCGGAGACGAAGCGCGCGGCTTCGCGGTTGTTGACGGCGCTGTCTCCGAGGGACGGGTTGTTCTTGACGTGCACGTCCCGCGCCTTGACGAGCTCCTGGTGCGCGTACCAGTCCTTGTGATTCTTGATGGCAGCGAGCGCCCGCGGCCGTGGGTACGTGGATTTGCAAGTGCCATTGAGAATCGCGTCGGTAGCTGGAAGGGACTCGGGCTCGGGGAGCGGGACGCTCTTGGGGTAAAACTCAGTCAGGTAGCCGCCGCGGACGGTGTGGTACTTGGTTTTGTCGCGGGCGGCGCGCTTCTCGCACACCTCCTTCCAGTCCGAGAGGGCGGACTCGTAGGTAGGTGGCGAAGCTGCGGCGATGGTGGGGTACTTGGACGCACCTCCCTCGTCGAGGGCGAAGTCGGGGTTGTGGGCGACGAGGGTGCGCCAGTTCTTGAGGAGCGACATGGAGAAGTCGCTGTCGGCTCGCGTGAAGGCGGTGTCGATGTTTGTTTGTTTGTCCGTCCCCCAAAATACATATCTTTTTACGACCCTAGATGCGAGACCCCGGCTGCCCCGTCGAGGCTACACGCCGGTGCTACTCTCGCGTTCCAAACTGGGTAGGAGAAGAGAGGATAACAGGCAGAAGGATTCGAAGAAAAACTTGGAGCACTTGGAGTGCGGTCAGTAACCTCACGCCCAGGACCGGGGAGCTGAGAAGCGCACCCAGTTGGCCGGACGCTCGGCATCGGGTTGCGGGCAAGAAAGCCCTAGCCCCGGGGGTGCGCGTTCGCAGGGCCATAACACGGTTCTCCGAGGGTTAAAAAGTTGCGTTTTTTTTCACTTGCGAGAGCGCACGCCCAAGGCAGGCCTCCAGTTTTTTGCTCTTCACGTTTGGGATTATGCGCCTCGCAGCAGCGCTGTCGCTCTCATTGCTCGCCGGCGCGAGCGGGCGGAAGAGGTGGTGGGAGAACGCGGAGCCGGACGACACCTTGGGCTGCGGAAAATGCAAGGTCGCCGTCATGCGGCTGCTCGTGCCGTTCCCAAAGGTAGCTCCCGCCCTGCGCGATCACCTCTCGCGCCTGTCGCTGGCGCAGCCAGCCTTGCGTGACGCGCCCCGGACCTTCGCCGGGGGCACAGCCTCCGCTGCCAACCGTCTCGCGTGTCTCTCACGCCCAGCCCCGGCCGCCGGCGTCAGGGCTGCGCTGGCTCTAATGGTACGGTCATCAAGAGCACGGCGGCGGATCGGGCAGCGTCGGCGTACTGCGAGAGCCTCTTCCCACCAAAGATGAAGCGGCAGTGCGTCGTCTACTCCTTTGGCGTAGACAACAACCTCGACTTTGACAAGGCGATGCTCGCGCGCAAAGACCCGGCCGGCGTCCCGATCGGCTGCCGCGTGATGTCCTTCGACCCGTTCTGCTGCGGCGCGGCGCACGTGCTGGCAACCAACCACCAGTTCGCACCCGTCGGCCTCGCCACGTACGACGGGCTGATGGAGGCGGGGACGGAGCAGGGGAACGTGAGCTTTCCGGTTGCGCCCGCCAGAGACGGCACGCCCGGCCCGCCGCATCTCGGCTGCACCTGGGCGGGTGGGCGTGCCCGTAGGTGTTTACGCTGCGCACGCTCATGTCGTCCAACGAGGACCCGAAGCTGGACGCGCTGCGGCTCAAGGTGAGCAGCGCGCTGGAGTGGAAGGGGCTGAAGAACCTGATCAACCTCGGCACCATCCAAGAGATCCGGCAGCTCTCGCTCAACCTCCAGTTCAAGGCGACCGCGGCGGGGGAGGGGAGAGGAGCACACCGCGCCTCCGACCCGCCTCTCACACACGCCCGCCCGTGAACAGGACGAGGACATGTGGGAGGAGTACCGACTGATCCTCACGTCGCTGCGCGCCGCCGGCTTTGTGCCCTTTTACGTCGCCAAGCAGCCGCAGGCGACGCCTCCGCCTGCGGCGGCGGTGGGGGCTTCCCGCTTGTGCCACGGCGCCTCTTCACGCCTCGCCCTGTGTGTGCCCAGGCGAGCTACCTGCAGGTGCAGGAGGGCTCGTTCCAGCTGTACTCGAGCTACGAGGTGGCTTACGGTAACGTCAACGTGAGGTGAGGCAGGGGAGGGGTTGAGGAGGGGAGGGGGCGAGGAGGGCGAGGAGGGCAGATGCGGGGAGGGGACGGCGCCGACGGGCAGGCTTCGAGCTGGCGAGAGGCGGCTGACCACAGGCCGAGGTCCCGACCGCACCGCTGACTGCGCCGCCTCCGGCCGAGGCGGCCTCGACGGCGGCGCTGCGGTGGTCGGGCTGGGCCGGGGCCCGCTTCTCGCGCGCGCGGGGCGGAGCGGAGGCGGGGAATGCGGCCTCCGGTGGAACGGCTTTCACCGCCGGATCCCTCGGCTCCTGGTAGAGAGTCGCGAGAAGCCATATGGAGACGCGTCTCTCTTGTGGGACGCCGTGTGCACCGCGGCCACCGCACGCGCACCGACCACCGTTGGCACGATGCGCACGCTGGGTCTCTATACATGTGTGGTGCTTGTGAGGCAAGGTAAACTTCTCCACAGACCCCACTACACACAGGGTGCGGGGGTTCACACACAAGATAATAGCGAGACTCGGGGGGAGGGGTGCGAGAGTCGTGCGCGCGAACAGCGCGTGTGTGTTTATTGCGCGAGCGAGTTCTCTCAACCCGCTAATCTACAGCAAGGCAACACAGGGAGGGAGATCGTGCCGTCGCCATTGGCGCCAGCCCTTCCCAGGCGTTCGTAGCCGGGTTGTGTTGCTCCACTGTGTTGAGTAACTCGAGCTCGTCGAACTCGTCGTCCTCGTCATTCTTCGTCTCGCCGCCAACAACATACAGTGTGCCGTCAAGCACCACCACTCCATGGTCACTCCTCGCCGTCCCCATCGGTGCCACCGCATCCCACGCATTCAGCGCGGGGTCGTACCTCTCGACAGAGGAGAGGTAGTTGTCGTTGCTCTCTCCGCCCACAGCGTACAGCTTGCCGTCGAGCACCGCCACGGCGAGAACTACCCGCGCCGTCCCCATCGGCGCCACCGCCTCCCACGCATTCGTCGCCGGGTCGTACCGATCGACCGAGCTGAGGGCGGAATCGTCATCGTTGTAGCCTCCCACGGCGTACAGCTTGCCGTCGAGAACTGCCACACCGAGACTCATCCGCGCCGTCGGCATCGGTGCCACCGCCTCCCACGCATCCAGCGCCGGATCGTACCGCTCGACCGAGCTGAGGAGGTGGTGATAGCGGCAGCCACCCACGGCGTACAGCTTACCGTCGAGCACCGCCATGCGATGATACAACCGCGCCGTCGCCAATGGCGTCACCCTCTCCCACGATTTCGTCGCCAAATCGTACAGCTCCACCCTGTTGCAAGTTGCGCCATCCTCATCCTTGCCGCCCGCTGCGTAGGGCTTGCCGCCGAACACCGTCATGCCGACTTCCGTGCGTGGCATCGGTGCCACAGCTTCCTCCTCCCACTCATCTGTTGCCGCGTCGTACCGCTCCAGCGAGTTGAGGAACTCGCCCTCGCTGTCGTTGCCGCCGATCACGACCAGGCGCGGCCTCAGGCGCGTCTTCAGGGTCTCCTTCCAGCCGCGGCGCCACGCGCGGCACGTCCCCTTGGCGGCGTGCTCCTTGGTCGGAAGCTGGGCGAGGATGTGCGGGGCGAGGTCCGGCGAGAGGAGGACCTCGGAGAGCACCCACTCGGGCTGCTCCACGAGCCGAGCGGCGTGCTCCTCCGCCACGCGCAGCGCGGCGTCGCTCGCGCCCGCCTGCGCCTCGATGATGGCGCACAGCTGCGCTGGCGAGAGGCCCGCGACGCGCGCGCCGATGCGGTGGGAGGCCATATACACGCAGACAATGCGAGGTAGTGAGGCCAAAAAGAAAGAAAGAAAAAGACGACCCAAGGGAGGGACGGGAGTCGAGGAGCGAGCGCGGAAGTGTAATTCTTTTCTTGATAGTATGAGCGGGGAGAAAGAGAAAAACGTGGGCACAGCAACCACAGGCAACGATTTTTTGTAAACTGGATTGATTGATCACGATAATTGATAAAAAATGGATAAAACAAGCACGTGCAGGTAGAGGGTTCGGTCACAGCCGGACAGCGGATGACACCATGAAGTACAGCGATCGCCATCTCGCTGGCCTGTCCGCAGGTCCCCCCGACCGCGTCGAACTCATCGGCGCGGGCTCTCTCGGCTACGGGACCGGCCCCAGCTTCGGCTGAGGGCTGACAAGCTGCCGAGCCCAAATCACTGTGAGAGTCGTGATTTCTTGTTGGTTTTCTAAAATCTCTCAGCGGAATGAGGATTGAATGACAGCGGGAGGAATGGTCTAGCGCTCAGGGGATGGTACTTTTCGCGTATTCCTATAGCCGGCGAATAATATAAAGGTGCAACAAGGTGTCCGTAGAGAGAGGCACGGGACTGGGGCGCACTGGATGAAAAAGAATCTTTCGGTTCGAACGTCTCCAGGTCCAGGGCCTCCAGCCAGCAGCCTCCAGCGTCCCGGGTGCGCACAAGAGCGCGGCCGGCTGGGTGCGGTGTCATCGCGGGTCGTTACGAACTCCGCCTCGCTCCCAGTCCTTCCTCTCCCTCCCGCGCGCTTTTGTGTCATCCGCGAGACGGCAGGCGCTACACATGGGCGTGGAGCAATCCTGGAAGTTGCACCACTCACTACATGGGCGTGGGTTGCCGCGCCGGCCTCGCCGGGGAAGCCATGGGGGAGGGTGATGGCGTGGCGACGGGCGAGATCGCGGCGAAGACTTGCGCGTCGAAGCGGTCGATGGCGTCTCGCAGGTCTGGCTGGTGCCTGTTCACAAGCCGGTGCCTGTTCACAGCTGAGCGGACGCTTCTCACAGCTGCAGAGCGCCCTGGAGAGATGGACCCGCGCCACCCCTCGCGCAGATGTGTCTCGTGTGCCTTGCGCGCTGCTCTCTTGCTAGCTCGCTCTCGCGCGCCCGAAGCGCGTCGCGACCTCTGTGCGCAGCGTCTCCGCCACATCGAGCAGCTGCTGCAGCGCCTCCTCGGACGCCATGCTGCTCCGGCGCGGCGCCTCGGCCTCCTCCGCCGCGAGACGGGCGCTCGGCACCAGATCACCCATCATAAGGCCCATAGAGGGCGGTAGAGCCACGGGCGCCAGACGGCCACCTCCGGACGTAGAGCTGCAGGCGTCGGTGGTGCCGGCGGCAGCGGCGAGCGCCCCGGAGAGAGAGCGGCGCTGTGCAGCGGAGGGGCGGGTCGGGTGGCTCTCAAAGTGCCACAGAGCGGACGTGCGCAGACTGCGCAGAGGGGTGAGAGGAGGGGTCGGGTCGGGCCGTGCGCACACCGAGTGAGGCGTGGGCGCCGGTCCACTTGCTGGCCTCGAGGCTGCCTACGTGAGACAAGGTTCCGAGAAGGTGAGGGTCACGGTCGGTAGACCAGTTGCTGCTGGCCTCTCGAGGCTGGCAAGCTGCGGTCTCCTGCGACCGCACCTCCGCCTCGGCGGGCGTCCTAATGTTGGGGGGTTAAAGGGGGTTGGGTGGGCTGACAGAAGAACCCAGAGCCAGATTGGAGGAAGCCGCCTAACCCAAGCAGGAAGGGAGGGGCCCA